CCAGGAAAGTTGAGAAAATGTTGAGTCCAAAAATATCCCCAGGGGTCGAAATGCCCACCTCTGGGATGTTATGCCACGACTTAACAGACAAGGTAATTAGGAGGCCCCTTCCCGAGCAAAGGATTATACCAAATTGATAACAAGTTCTGATACCCGGTTATCAATATTTGATAACTGAATATGTTATCATTTTGGTTGAATAGGCAGCCAACATAACACAAATTATAACAAAACATTACTCCGTGGACATATAAAAAAAAATTACTGATTTACTTATCATTGAAATCCTGTGATCCATTCAAATATTTTCAACTAATTTAAAATTATTTTATCGATTGTAGATAATTAACCACTTCATTCGAGCAGTTAAAATGACGTTTACTACCACTCGAACTTTGAAATAAAACATTATTTTGAGATTTTTTCTTCTAGAACCACGAGAAAAGTAGACAACATTTGTGCGTTTCATAAATAAATATAAATTAGTTGGTCCAGTTTTGTGAAATCGTTTGTAGAAAGTCACGCCAAAACTGCTTGACAAAGTAGTCAATTGAAACATGATTGGCAGTGTGATTTTTTTCTTACCATGCGGATAATATTTGAAGTTTTAAAGTAATCTTGCATCATTTCATGTTCTTTCATGATGACAACTGATAACAAAATTAGTCGATGCTGATAACTAAATTAGTTATGCGATAATAACTGAAAACAAAATGATATCTAGAATAACAAGACTTGTTTTAAAGATGATGTCAGGTTGTAATTTTGCTTTGCTCGGGTTTTCCCGCTGGATGACTTCATCTTTTGATTGTAGAGATCAATTTGGTTTCTTACGCTAAAGTTTTGCCTGCTCACAACTTAGTGTTCTTTGAAGCACTTTGAAAATATGATTGAGAGCTTTCTTTGCCAACCAATCCTGCATTAATTTGAATATTTATTACACAACGGTACACGCTATGTCTGAAGACACTTTTTTTGCAACTTTTATGTACCTCAGTTTTTTCTTTACACGAAGTGATCCTAACAATCAAATCTATGAAGGTTTTAACAAATTTTATTTTGAGTTTTTTTTTTGAACAAGTGTTTTGAAGTTTAAATAGCCGTTTATGAAGGTATATAGGGACTATTTACGATACAAATAAAACTTTTGAAAACAACATGATCCTTACTTTTGTTTGTAAATTCGGACAGATTCTGAAGCTTCCAATCTTTACTACATGCATGACTTTGCTTTGCAAATTTGTTAGAATTTGCTTTTCTTTTTCTGCGGTGCTTTTTACTAACATAAATTAACACATTTTAACTCTGCAACTCAGCATCTTTTCCTCTGGATATTTGTGAACCTCAGTTTTCTTGAACTGCTCACTTTTTTTACACCGGGTAAAAAGAAATGGCATAACTATTGCTAGAAATATGGCAATTTTTGTATCTAATTTATAACAATTGTTGTTATCATTTCGCGCCAAATCGAATCGAAGCTGGCAACACCCTCTCAGATTTCAATGAAATTTTCTGGATGTGTAGACTTCAACTAAATAAGCACTTTTGCATACTCAGTTTTTCCAAAATTTATCTTGACTAACATTTGAGAAGGGCCAAACTGTTCGTGCCTTTTTTCAAAAAAAATATCATGGTAAAATGACAACTCCTACAAAACTGTGTTGCATGGATGACTTTTAGAAAATTGTCCAAATTTTCAAAAAAAAAAATACTTAAAAAAAAATTATTTGAGACCTACACTAAAAAAATCGATTTTTAAAATTTAAAGTGGCCATGATTGATTTGGATGAAAATTTGGTTCAATATTAGATTGTAATTATGTTTACTACCATCCGTCCATACATTGCGAGATGGGCGTTTTCCTTACAAAAACTTTTTGATGTCTGAACTGATTTTTTTTAACGTACCATTTTCACACAATACTAAACCAGTGAAGCTCAACATCATCTCAGAACCCATGAAGCTCAATTTGTGATTCAATTTTGCCTAATCAGCAACTAATCACTTGGATTAATTGAGAATTCCATATAAAAAGGGCTTATCCCAACAAACAATTTGAGCTGAATAAGCTATTTTTTTAGCTTAAGAAGCATATTTTTGCCTTAATAGGCTGTTACTCAGCTTGCAATGTTTGTTGGGATATCATTAGATAATAATATAATTTATTATACTGTCTACTACTGAGGCAAAATCCGATACTTCTGTACAGCAACTTAGCATTCTTAACTAAATTTATCCGTAAAGAATTAGATATGAATAAAATTTAAATTGAGATCTTCTCTCGTATCAACAACGAAGTTAACCTATCGCATCATAATTCTTTTTTTTTTCCTTTGGTTTGTTTTTTTCCGTCGATCTTGTTTTCCGTGCTGAGCACCAATGCTACCGACGTGCCAGGAAGGCAGCTCCCACACCTGGACCTTACCTATCGACCCATCAACTCATGAACCGGGGACCAACGGCTTTACTTCCCATCCGAAGGAAGGCGTGATCAGAGATGTTATGCCTCAGAACATCCCAGCGGCGCCGACTGGTATTGAACTCAGGCCTGCTGGGGTGAGAGGTAATCACGCTTACCACTACACCACCGGCGCCGTTGCATCATAATTCTATATGCTGTTCTGTTATTTATACCTAAACCATTAAAATTATATACCTACCACTTCATTCTATCTGTGAGCACTATAAAACCAACAATCAATACGAAACTAACGATTTTAAATTGGCTCACCACTTTAGTAGCCTATTGGTCCCAAGCAAACGATTAACGTACCCTATTCTAGTTGAAATTCTATTACTACACTATGTTTGTTTTGATTCGCTATGAAAGTTTGACAGATAACATCAGGGGTGTGTGGATTCATGCAGAACATGCAGGGGTGAGTGAAATAGCTTGGGACTGCTTGGGACCGTTGTTCTGGTACTGAGTGAGCCAAAAATAATAATGATTTTCTTCGGGACCCAGTGGTCTTAGAGTTACCTCTATGATAAAACTATGGTTGATTTCATACAAGCAGCAGTCAATCTGATAACGAAAGTTGTGAAGACAAGTCTTAGTAAAATTATTATCATGGACCAAAGTAGTAAATTAAGGCTCAAAGGATTGAAATGTTGTGCAAATATAAATAATCCGAGATGCAACCGAAATAAGTTACGGGCCATATCGTCAACGATGGTAGAAAAAATACATTCTATGGGATATAACCACAAAATGGATGAAACGATGAGCATTTATGAGTCATGCCGTAGCGTGATATCTCATAATAGAAGTCCTCAACGGCGCCGGTGGTGTAGTGGTAAGCGTGATTACCTCTCACCCCAGCAGGCCTGGGTTCAATCCCAGTCGGCGCCGCCGGGATGTTCTGAGGCATAACATCTCTGATCACGCCTTCCTTCGGATGGGAAGTAAAGCCGTTGGTCCCCGGTTCATGAGTTGATGGGTCGATAGGTAGGGTCCAGGTGTGGGAGCTGCCTTCCTGGCACGTCGGTAGCATTGGTGCTCAGCACGGAAAACAAGATAGACGGAAAAAACAAACCAAAGGAAAAAAAAATACAAGTCCAGTTATGAAAAAACGCCGATCGTTTGGAAATGAAGTAAATATCCTACCGTTAACTACCGGGCAGCAGCATAGTGATGATCCAGGTCCATCAATGAGTGGCCATCAATTCGTAGATGAGCTAGGTAAGAACAGTCATCCTGATGATTCTATCAACTTTTAACTGCAACCTCCTAATTCAAGAGCAAATTTTCATTACGTCGAATGTAACAAAGGTAAACAAAGTCGAGCTATCAGTGTCAACCGATTCTCCTGCTATTACACTATATACTGTCCGAATATAGGATCAAATCCCATTTTTAAATTTATTTACCAGTCAAATTGCTTTTTGACGTAATCACCTTCCGATCAAAATAGTTTTCGATGTTACTTAAGTCACCCAATTTCTATGGAGATGCCGTTTGACTTAAGTAACAGCGCTGAGAAACCCGTGAAAAGTGTACGTTCGTCGGAGAGGTTAAACATTGCTATCACTATGAGATTATATGTGTTTACTTGAAAATAGGAATAACTTTTCGGTCATCAAAACAAAACTTTATTTTTCTCGGATTGGTTCGGATGTTACTTACGACATAATGAAAATTTGCTCTTGAATTGCACTTATTAATTATTTTTTCTTCTTCTTTCCTTCCGATACGGTACCATCGGTTCCATCATTGGAGTCAGTTCCATCAGTATCTACCTGTTGGAGATTTATTTAGGTACCTGGTTAGGTAAATTGTGACATGGCAGTGGATACCTGCTGATTTGTAGTACCTATTGATTAGTATATAACTCGTAGATAAAAGATGGATTTGTGGAGATTGGCACACCCCTGGTTGCCACTGACATTCAGAGAGAGAGAGAGTCGACTTCCGGAGGGAGAGGCAAAAAAAGAGAATCGCGAACGTGTCACGACGCGAAGCATTGAAGCGGAAATAAATACAAGTTAAATCGTTGATTTTGCGTTCGTTTATTCGGTTTTCCATATCCGTCCGTGTCTGTACACCACATTGGTGACGCCAACGTGATAAAATCGCGTAAAAAACGGTCGATTATACCGTGTTTCGTACGTACGAAATTTTCGCGAAAATATCCTCACCATCTTGTTTTTCTAATTCGAACCGAACCGTGAAAATGGCGACTGGACAGCAAGAGGAAAATCCGGTGGCTACAGCTTCCGTAGCTATCAAGCTGCCTGAGTTTTGGAAGAGCGATCCGGCTATGTGGTTCGCTCAAGCCGAAGCCCAGTTCATCCTGGCAGGAGTAACGCGTGATGCAACCAAATTTTACCACATAATCGCCAAAGTGGACCAGAGCGTGTTGTGTCACATCTCGGATTTGGTTGCAAATCCACCAGAAAACGACAAGTATCTGTCAATCAAGACCAGACTGCTAAGCCGTTTCGAAATGTCAGCGCAAGCAAAAATTTAGAAATTGCTTAACTCCTGCGATTTAGGCGACATGAAGCCGACGCACCTACTGGCCCGGATGCAGGATCTGGCGGCTGGGCTTAATGTTGATGATGGATTGATGAAAATGTTGTTTTTGCAGCGGCTTCCTGCAAATGTCAAAACGGTGTTGATGATCCACGACGACACACTGACCAAATTGGAGTCTTCTTACACGCACCCGTCTGTAGCAGCAACTACTTCGCAACCAGCATTCCCTACCCAGGAGGATCTCGTCGAACAAATCGCCTATCTCACGGCGGAAATCCGGAAGCTCAAGGGAATCAGCAGAGGCAAGAACCTAAGTCGATCGTCGTCCCGCGTACGACAGAGTGTTAATGAGCCAATTTGCTGGTACCACAAAAAGTACGGTGTAAACGCTTACCAGTGCCGCGAGCCGTGTGTCTTCAAAAATTCGCCAAAAAACTAGACAGCAGCCCATCTTTCACGGCGGGGGTGGGTATGAACAAGGAAAGCCGCCGCTTATCCGTTTTTGACAGAACCAACAACATTCGCTTCTTAATCGATACTGGATCGGATGTTTCTATCCTACCAGCTACCAGAAGAGACAAAACCACCCAACAAACAATTTTAGCTGCAGATTAGCTTATACAGCCAAAATTTGCCTTATGCAGCTATTTTTTGCCTGTATAAGCTAAGCTGCAGCTAAAATTGTTTGTTGGGCAAGCCACCGATTCCGTTCCTGTTGCATGCAGCAAATAGCTCGAACATCAAAACTTTCGACACACGTTTCCTGTACGTGGATCTCGGACTCCGCAGGAGATTTTCCTGTAATTTCCTCGTCGCAGACGTTAGTACAGCTATTATCGGAGCAGACTTCCTTTCTTATTTAGGATTGATGGTGGATCTCAGACACCGTAGTATCATCGATGGGACAACAAAACTCAAGTCTACAGGTGGGATGGTAAATTCGCTTCTTCACGACGTCACAACAATCAGTTATGATCATCCGTTCCGGCAGTTGCTTGAGAAGTTCCAGACTACAACACGTCCGTCGACGCTGCGTGCAGAAGTTCGTCATGGTATTACTAATCACATAGTGACCAAACGACCTCCTACCGCTTGTAAAGCGCGCCGGATGTCGCCTGACAAGCTGTCGCTCGCTAAGCAAGAATTTCAAACGATGATGGATCTTAGCATTTGTCGTCGTTCTAGCAGCAGTTGGGCCAGCCCGTCACATTGCGTACCGAAAAAGTCTGGACAACTGCGCTTTGTTGGAGATTATCGCAAGCTAAACCATGTCACTGTTCCGGATAGGTATCCGGTCCCGCACATCCACGACTTGCTAAACGCCCTCCACGGTAAGTCAATATTCAGTACTATCGACCTTGAACTAGCTTACCATCAGATACCAGTGGAGGAAGAAGACGTACCAAAAACAGCCGTTATAACTCCATTTGGTCTATTCGAATTTACTAGGATGCAGTTTGGCCTGTGTAATGCAGGTCAAACGTTCCAAAGATTCATGCATAGGCTTTTTAAAGACCTCGATTTTGTTGTCGTCTTTATCGACGATATATGCGTTGCTTCGTCTTCAATTGAAGAGCACCATCAGCACATGCGACCCTAGTAGCACGCTTGTCACAAATCAATTGTAGAAACTTATATACGACTTATTTCAGTCATAAACAAGTTGCTGTAACTTATTGTGATGAAAGTGTGCTACTCGGGGAATAGTGTTCGACAGACTTCGATCAAATGGCCTTGTAATAAACTTACCTAAATGTAAATTCGCCCAACAAGAAGTCGAATTCATCGGTTACCTCATCGGAAGAGACGGCGTAAAACCGTTACCTAGTCGAGTGTCAGTGGTTTTAAATTTTCCTCGCTCAACGACAATCAAAGACCTTCGGCGATTCCTTGCACTTGTTAACGGGTACAAACGTTTCGTACGCCAAGCGACCGATATGCAGGCAGAATTAAGGTGTCTCATCACAGGTAACAAGAAAAACGATTCCAGGAAAATCGAATGGACCGAACTTGCCATAGAAGCGTTTGAGAACAGTAAGAAAGCACTAGCAGAAGCAGCGTTACTATATTACCCAGATCCAGATAAACCTTTGGGGCTTCTAGTAGATGCTTCTAACACCGCGGCCGGAGCCGTTCTGCAGCAATGTGTCAACGGGACTTGGCAGCCGTTAGGTTTTTATTCGGAGAAATTTACCCCGGGCCAACGAAGCTATTCCACTTTTGGACGGGAGCTAATAGCTATGAAAATGGCCGTAAGGTACTTCAGACATCTGTTAGAGGGCCACCGATTTACGATTTTTACCGATCATAACACTCTAACGCATGCTATGACTTCGAATTCTGCTTGTCGTCTGCCCCAAGAAGAGAGAGCGTTACAGTACATTTCACAATTTACCACGGACATCAAACACATCAGTGGAAAGCTTAATATTACTGCAGACACGCTCTCCAGAGTAGACACGATTAGTTCTCCATCTCCAATCGATTACAAAATCATTACATTGGACCAGAACAATGACCGAGAACTCCATAAATTACTCAGCTCGACGACTTCTTGGTTGAATCTGAAACAAGTTACCCTGCAGCTGTGTTCAAAACCACTTTATTGTGACGTCTCCGTAAATGGTTGCACTCGTCCGTACATACCAGAGCCGCATGATTATGGAGCACTTCCACAACATTGCTTATCCTGGCATACGAGCAACTCGTAGGTTTTTGTACAGTAGATTCGTTTGGCCAAAAATGAACAAAGACATCGCCGAGTTCGTGAGAAATTGTGTGGCTTGACAAAAATCAAAGGTTTACCGTCATATCACCGCACGCTGGCTTCGTTTGGCTTACCAAAGTGTCGTTTCAACCACATCCACATCGATTTAGTTGGCCCTCTACCACCATCTAACGGTCACGTTAGATTTTGCGTTCGTTTATTCGGTTTTCCATATCCGTCCGTGTCTGTACACCACAGATTCTTCAGTGGTGTTGAGGGTGGTGTGGGTACTGATGAAGTCTGCAAGTAGTAGACGAAATATGTGTACATGGCGAAAGATAAGCAATTATAACTGAATTAAAAGGAAATAAATCAACACACTCAAAGCTCTTCATAAAGGGATTCCGTTAAGAGGTTCGACAAATTTACAAAATTATCATTAATACAGTGGATGAACTGACATTACGCTGCTTTTACAGCATTTGTTTATTTTTGTGGCCATAAAAATAATTTGAGGTTTTCGACATAATTGAAGTGCATCCTCTTGGATAAAATATTAAAACTTATTTTTTGCTGTGTGAGCCATTGCATGATAGTGTAACAAATGTAAAACGGGGAAATCGTTGTATCGCGAGCTTACAGAAGTGTAACAAATTCGTCTTGCCGAGTTGATTTCTCATATTAAATTTCTTTCTACGAGGTTGTAATCAAGCTGTCAAGTTAGCGTGGATCAAGACTGAACGATTGTGAATATTTGAAAATGTTTGTGTAGCTGACTATTGCCTCACAGACCGAATGACGTGTTAATTGCTACAGGTTTTCAGATATATAGTCAAAATATAGTAAACTTGGCTTGGTAGTCTCCTATCATCTGGGGCACCCGTTTGGGATGGTTCGGAATCCAAGAATCTCCATCAGGAACGTCTGTAAACTCCGTTAGAAACATCTGGAATCCCCGCTGGGATCGTCTGGAATCTCGGTCGGGAATATCTGGAATCCCCCTTAGTATCGTCTGAAATCCAAATCGAAAACGTCTGAAACCTTAGTAAAGAACTTCTGAAACCTCCTTTGGGAACGTAGGTAATCCAAGTTGAGAACGTGTGAAATCCCTCCTGGGAACGTCGGGATTTCCATCGAGATTATCCGCAAACACTTCGGGAACGTCTTAAGTATCAGTTGGGATCATCTGCAATCTCCGCTGGGTACGTCTTGAACCTTCAATGGTCTCCATTGAAAATGCCTGAAATGCTTGTTAGGAACGTCTTGAATCAAAGGCAAGAACACCTCGAATCTCCGTCGGAAATGTCGAGAATCCCCATTGGAATCGTCTGTAATCCAGTTTTGAAATATCTGAAACACCCCTTGGGAACGCCTGGAATCTCCATTGGGGTCTACTGGAATCCTCGGCGAAAATATTCGGAAACACTTTTGGAACGTCAGCTATTGTGCGATGTTTATTGTTCATCATCTGCACCCAAGTAACTAACAAGCCCGCTAATTCGCCTTTTTGCAATGTAAGGCTAATATGCGGCTAATATAAAGCTTAACATGCCCTATGTTAGCCGTGTATCAGCCTTACATTGCAAAAAAAGGCGAACTAGCGGGCTTGCTGGTTACTTGGGCAGTTTGCCAAGTCCGTTATTTTGTTGTCGACCTTGGAAGCAAACATTTCGTGATGAGTTTATTAGCAAAGACCACGATTTGCGTCCATTTCTTCAATGGAAGCTCAATAAAATGAAGCAAAAAACAAAAACAAAATCTGATATCTAAGTCAGAAATGTCTGGAGTCCCTCAGGAACGTCGGAAACCTGCATCTGGAACGTCTTATATCCAAGTCATGATCGTCTGAGAGCTAAATCGGGAGTGTCTGGAATCACTAATGGGAAAGCCTGCAACCTCCGGTGAGAACGTTTCGAATCCAACTCGGAGACTTTTGTCGGCCTGATTTCAGGCCCTTTTTTTAGGCGTGGCAAAGTGGTTAGCATCAGCTATTTGTTTATGGATTACGGAAAGTGGCTCTTACGTGTACAGACGGCACAAAGGGACAAACACTTCAAAGTTGAGCTATTAGGGATTTTTTTAAATATTTTATGTAAAGAAACATAGGCTTCAATTATTCCGTCCAATATAAATAGATTTATTCACAATCAGTACATCGTTAACATCCTTAATCTGCTCAGTTTTCCTATCTTTAATGTCTATTTTCCTAGACCAGATCGAGAGCTGTATGGCGCGCAATAAAATCCTAGGAAAAAAGATGGTCAAAATTTGCATTCTGTATTGTAGCAAATCGTCAATATTTAGCATTAGCAAAATATATTTCCTTATTTGTTTTGTTTTGTCTAATCTAATTGAGGCATTAGAAACATCATTTTGTTTATAAATAATCATAACAGATTGTCTTAAAATCATTAGTGAGAAGTGAAAAATAAAACCTAACGACATGGTCTACAGGTGTTCGCCTAAATTTGTATTACAGCTTATGTCATGCTACATCGAATTTGTAATACATTCATTGTTCATATCTTACAAGGTTAAAAAAGTAGTAAATCGTTTGGTAGGGAAGAAATCAGTGCGGCTAAGAATTTAACATCATTGAAAATAGCTTAGTTCTTAGAATAGAAATTGTAATTAGAATTCAACAACGAACCAAACGTTTTGGAGTAATTGCAAACCTACGGTTATTGTTAGCGGAAAGCTTACGCTGTTTTGATTTTTTTTTTTAATATTAGAAAAAGATACAAAAAAGTTGGAAAATATTTTTTTTTACTAAGATTCTTGAGAAAGGAAAACTTTTTAATATCTTATCATGAAAAAAAGTTGGACTCTTAACAAAACCGAATGATCGATTTTGTTCAGTTTTTTGAGTCCCACATTTGATGATGATGATTCTTCAGAATTGGAGAATAAAATAATTTTCTTAGATTTTTTTATATTTTTTTTTGAATATTTTTAGAAAAATCAAAACGTGTTCATGATTTGGAGCGGTAAGCTTCCCGTTATGTTTGATCTTAAAAGATAGCATGGGTAAGAGACGAAAGTGATGACAAAATATTTAAGATATTGACAAATCAGAGCAGTGACTGTTCGATAAGAATCCGCTCGAACCCTGGAGGCAGACTGTAACTGAAGTTATCTAGCACGATGTCCAAGATAGCGCCATCGTCTACAAACAGGCAGGGGAAAACTGTTCCACGGACGTTGAGTATCGGAACATTTAGGTTTGTTCCATTTAGATAAAAGTTCAGCTCAACGTGATCATATGCTACTCCAATAGTGTCCCCTTCTTGAGGAATACCACTATTGTTCACAAGCGTGGATGAAACGGCCGTTTCAAGTTTTCCCAGGGCAGCTGGATCGATTTCGATCGTTTCATTCACTTCTGGCTTCTTCTCAAGCTTATGCAGGGGTTTAGCGTTGTGATATACGACATTGTCCGAAGTGAGACACCACGTTTCCTTGTCGAAACCACCTTTGGATTCATTCAGATCAGCCTGCTGGGTGGCGAGTCCCACCGACCACTGGCCACCTTGCTGCAATTTTACCTCGAAATATGATTTGGACTGTAGCAGCGGTGTGTTTGCTATGACTCCACCCGACCCGCACGCTCGTTGACCGCCTTTTATCACGACTACCTCGTGCCCTGAAATGATAAAAAAAAACAATTATTTACATTTACATATTATGCAATTTTATGGAGAAACAGGTGAATCGAAAATTAAATAAAATTAAAATATTATTTTTGTGCGTCAATCGTCAGAGAACCTTGAGGTAAATATATAATTATAAAATTTTTTACAAAATGTGGGTCAAGTTTTACACTTTTTCATATGCACAGAATGAGAAAATCGATTTTAGCGATTTTTGCTATAGACCACTTTTCGTTCAATCCTATTGCATGAAAAATATCGATGCCATGTTCAAGATTTCCGATGAAATTTAGTGTAGAAGTATGCAGAAAAAAGCGTTTTCTTTTAAATCGTGGAGATTTTGGAATTCAATTTTTTAGTTATTGATTCATTATAATAAGCACCACATTGGGATGATTTTAGCCGAAGAAAAATCAATTTTTAACTTTTGTACAGCTGTATTCCCTTAAGTATTAAGTAAATTTATTAAATTTCATTTAATACTTTGCTTTACCCTTCAAGATCGTTAAGCTCACTGAAATGTTTGCTTCAGCATGAGATTCGTGAAAAGTACGATAGAAAAATCTACGATTGTTTTCACTCAGCATTGACGTGAGGATTATTTTGTCATGCGTTTTACTAAAATAAATGTAACTTCATACAGGTTATTCCAATAAAGTCCAAAACTAAAACGATAAATCAATAAACATCTGTGCAACCACCAGCCAAGATTTAAAAAATATATCTATTCAGAAAGTTTCAAAAAATCTTCCACTAGGGTGTACGCTCAATTTTGAAATACACTGTAAATATTTTTTTCTAAAATTTGTCAAAAAACGCAGTCTTAAGAATTAGGGGAGACTTGATCCCTTTTTTATGATATGCATTTAAATATTAATCACATCCCGTGATCGAATTTGTGGGAGATCATTCTTTATTTTTACCACACTTATATCTCAGGATTAAGTGTGTCTAATCCTTGAGGCATCAAGTCTTCCTTAGCTGAGTTCAACTTCAAATCAAACTAAACAAAATATACAAAACAGCACCAATTTAATGATTATAATTGATACTACTTATTCACAGCTTTTAGCCGTGAAAATGAGATACGGTTTGGTTGAATGTTCTAAAAGTCATTAACAATTTTCATGCATGCAACAACAAAACATTCTAAGGAAGTGAACTGAACTGTCTGTTCAGAACTGCAATAAGAACTGCTCTCAAAAATATATACGTTCCACAATCTGACGCAAATGTGACCATAACTTTACATTCGGTCTAGACGAAACTTTGTGGAAACTGAATAGCCACACGCAAAGCAAAAATTTATTACAATGAATGTTAGTTCCATTTCCTATCATCCTCTGTTCATGAACATCACAGCGATTGTTAGATGTTGAATTTGCAGACGATGCCAATATTTTTATTCTTTTTTTATTCCGTGTTCTGTATATGCTTTCACCTACACAAGCAAGCATTTGCCTTGATTGTTATGTATAACATGGTTGAACGACGCACCCACTTGCCTCGATTCTCTCCAGTAGAAAAAGAAAACGAAGTCGAGTATGCGTGGAAATGAGCGCTTCTTGTTTGCTTTTAGCCTAACCATATTTCGAAGCATGGAGAGAGCAGTGGAGAAAGCATAGGCCTGTTAATTGCAACGTTCGTGGTTCGAGTCCCCCAGTCGGCATTTTATTTTCGACATGATTAATTCCATTAACTAATACCATAGAGATAACTCTAAGACCCAGAAGGTCCCGAAGAAACGTGCTCAACTTTTTGTCTCAGCTCTGGTACTATCTTCGGTCCCAAGCTAATCGATTCACCCCTCGAAACATAGGAAAATCCACTAACCCCTCATTTTATCTGTCAAATTTTCATAGCGAATCAAAACAAACATAGTGTAATACTAGAATTTTGACTAGAATGGGGTACGTAATCGATTTGCTTGGGACCAATAGGCTAGTCAAGTAGTGAGCCAATTTAAAATCGTTAGTTTCGTATTGATTGTTGCTAATACTCTCCACATTTTTCTTTCTCCATTTTCTTGCATTGGACCGCAGCTCGGTATATCGCATTCTCGGTTCATGCGGTCTTCATTAACATCCTTTGATGATGAATCCCACATAATTGTAAGCGAATCCGCTGGTTGGGTGCAGAATAAACACTTTTTTTGGTTTCAAGTATTTAAAGATTATATTTTTGTTCGATAATCATAAATATTGCTGTTTTCTACCCGAATACTTTTGACTTATGTCCGGCTGTATAGAAATCTTAATTTATAGTCTCACGACCAGGCATACCAAAAGTACCGCTTCATGACAGTATTCCAACGGTTGTCGCTTTCTTTTTCCTACACGCAAACCAAAAATTTATTACAATGAATGTTAGATCCACTTCCTATCATCCTCTGTTCATGAACATCGCATCGAATGTTAGAAGTTGACCTTACAGGCGATGTAATGGTTTTTTGTCTTTTTCATTTCGTGTTCTATCTACGCTTTCGACTATACCAGTACGCTTTTTATGTATAACATTGTAGAACGACGCACACACTTGCCTCGAATCTCTCCAGCAGAAAAAGCATACCAAACCGAGTATGAGAGGAAATAAGCGCTTCGTGTTTGCTTTTAGACTGTCCGTATTAAGAAGCATGGAGAGAGCATTGGAGAAAGCACACGTCTGATGATCGCAACGATCATGGTTCGAGTCGAGTCGGCAACCTTTTTCCAATTTTTTTTTGGACGTAATTCATTTCACTTACTAATACACTCCACATTTTTGGTCTCCAATTTTCTTGCATTGGACCGCAGCTAGGTATATCGCATCCTCGGTTCATGCGGTCTCCACTAACATCCTCTGATGATGAATCTCACATAATTGTAAGCGAATCTTACATCCCCCGGTTGGGTGTATGACAGCCTTGAGATTGAGCTATAAGCGACAGCCCACAGTGAGGCTGTTATACGACATGCAACGTCTTGTGCAGTACATGACAGCTCGTTCTTAGTCATATATTTTGTTCGTTCGGCTATGACAGCCTCGGATGGTTTTTCGTAACGTTCCTCGTACACACAACAAGCAGTCCATCAAACTGCCGATTCGTTGCTGTCTTTGAAATTTTGTTTGTATGTTGTAAGACTGCTACTATACTACCAGTGTGACGCCGAAGCTCGTTCGGTTGCTAAACGTTCGTGCTGTCCATCGCAAAATTTGCATCCGATATTTTTTTGAAAACGCGCGGTCTTGAGCAGATCGGGTACACGACGTTAGGCATACGGTCGTTAGGCATACGAACGTTAGGCATACGGACGTTAGGCATAATGTACGATAGGTATAATGGACGTTGGGCATAAAGGACGATAGGCATAATGGACGTTAGGCATAAAGGACATTAGGCATAATGGACATTAGGCATAATCTACCCGATGAATTCCAGAAGGATGATAATGGGGACCGTCTATTGATTGCTGACTTCGGTGACAATAATGAAAGAGCCTTCATTTTTGGAACTCATGAAAACTTGCGACGTCGTGGACAGGCAAAGTATTGGGTTTCAGATGGTACGTTTGCCACAGTTCCTTGTTTGTTTCGGCAACTCATCACTGTTCATGGAAGTATAGCTCCCTCACATCAGCAGACGGTTCCGCTAGTTTTGATCTTGGATCTAAATAAATATGTAGCTACGTCACTTATGATATGATAAATAATGGATTCCATACTATGCTTATTAAATAAACTATGTTTGTTTAACTTGTATCATCTTTTATTCAACGCTTAGCCTAATTTAAGAATTGTTTACCATGCTCGAAACAGGTTTCTAGAGTTGCACAGCAGCAAGGTATTTTATACTTAACGTCCATTATGCCTAACGTATATTATGCCTAACGTCCATTATGCCTAACGTCCGTATGCCTAACGTATTTATGCCTAATGGGGTACACTCGAGCAGATCAGACATTCCGACATTCCGGCGAAAAAAATAAGCCTACCCGACACAAACGTGACTTCTACCAAAGCCCAACCCAATGTTGGCCCGACATTGACCCGACATAAACACAAAATTTACTCGACATCGACCCGACATTTGGCCGACGTCAATCATAAATTGACCTTACATTGATCCGACATGTCTGTTCGGGATCATTCTTCTGGGTTTCTTCCATACTCCACTGCCGTATATCAATTGTGTATAATGTCTCGTGACAGCCACTTGGGTAAGCTGAGGGATGTCGTCGGTTTGTAAAGGTTGTCATGATGACAGAAACATTGAAAACCTGGTAATAAAGAAATGTATAAATACAGCCCATTCGGTTCACTAGCCTGCTCACGAGATTGCCATCTCGAGGTTTACGAGAAACGATTTTAGGTCAAGTATTAAGAAAATAACGCTTATATTCTACATATCTTGACACTTTTAGCTTTGCGGTTGGTTGTTGTTGAATTATTTCATTTAAGAATCAAATTTAGCTAAGCTGGTTTCAATTTTTGTAAGATTGGTGTGAACAACTGTCAACCGCACTTACGAACATTTTAACCATACAAACATCATATGGAGTTTAAAGCAACTTTAAATCTTAAAATCGCTTTCCTGCACACTTAAAACAGATTCGCGAGGTCGGCAAAAAATACTGAGCTGACACGGTAATTCATAATTTTACTGATATTTTGGCAACCAAAATAATGTTTTCCGAGAATGACCAAAAAATTTGCTGAAATATCAGAAATTAATTAAATTGTACCGAAATTCGGCAAAGTAATTCGCTGAGCACATCAGTAAATAGAACTATTGCTGAAATCAGCAATCATGCTTACTGAGATTTCGGTATAGACCTCATCCATTGCCGAATTTCGGTAATACAGCTGTCACTTTTTTTCCATCTGCCATTTTTCAGAAGATCAGAAGTGAATCGTTGTCTGCGTCGTTTGCTTTAAAATTAGCTCTAAATTGCTGAATAATGCATCAATTTCTGGTTCAAGTGCAAAAGGAGGACGTAATCATGGAATGAAATTCAAACAAAAATATTGGATCATTATCGTGATGCATTCCGTTTCATCAAAAATTATTTTCTGAGGGCTCTGGCAGTCGTGCGGCAAAAACCCCAACACGTAGACTAAAACGCTCGAGGAAGCAGGATCCGAACCTGCGAAAGATGAACCCAATGGATTAATGTAAGATCAAGATTGTTCTGTTTTGTTTCAGTGAAAATAATTCCTGTTTGGTTTAAACTTTCAGTCTAACAAGAGTATGCCGATGTCAGCAATTTTCCCGAATAACAATTGTTGGGGAGGATTTGGAGGAAGGGGAGTGCCACGTTATTTGGGATAACGTGGTCGTCGAACCAGGACTAGATGTACTGCAGGCGTTCGTGCTTCTCTATAGGGCACAGAGTAGCAACCTATTTTTTTGGCTTTTTTATGCTGATTGTTTTAAAATTTTCCATATGAGCAATACTGGCAACAACTTTATCAATTTTCTGTTATGTATTTTTTATGGATTTTTATAAATGTAAAGAATGATTTCTTTATTCTTTGTTCCTTTCTTTTTTTTAAACGCAAGTTAACAAAATTTAAAAAATGCCGGGATTCAGTATTTTATTTTACCGTAGGGATGATTTTGCCGATCAATAAGTTATTTTTTACTGAGATTTTCGGTTAAAAATTGAAAACCTTGAATTTTATGATAACCGGGATCCTTGGTAAATTTGCTGTTTGTCAAGATGGTTATCGAGCAGTCAGTGGTGCCCATCACGGCAATTGTTTTGCTGAGATTTTTCCAAAAAAAATTTAGTGTGTACAAACTATCATCGTCATTTGGGTTTTCAACTGAATCTAAATCAATATAGACAATAACCCGCATAAATCCCAACAATACGATAACCACATTGGATATGGTTTATCTTCCTATGAAAACCATAATGAGAATGGTTCAGCCAACTTTAATCGAACAATGCCTAGATAAAGTTTTGACCATGTTAATTAAGGTTTTTGAAGACCCAACCATACGAACAATAATGGGGTGTTAAGAACGTTCACCATTCGAAATCAAACTTTTTCCCATACATGTTTGGCACTATAGCCTAACCACATCAGAAAAGGTTCTAGTTGGAAACATATTTTCATTACCGTTCCAATAAGGTAGTGCGGTTTAGAACCAAACATTGTTAACTGGTAAAAATTTAAAAATTATTCTTTAATTTTAATGTGATTTACATGACTTCATTTTGTGGATACCTCTTTGAACATTTTATTGGTGTTGAGATAAATGAAATACACTAATGTATACACCCTGAAAAACTAACCTCCAGTTCATTTCAGGTTCTGGAAATATGTACCGGTAAAATGAACCTGTTTCGATTTTCTTTTTGCTTGACCGAGCCAGAAGAATCAAAATCTCTCTCGCATGTAGACCGTTGTTAGCCGTGTTGGCTGGGATTTTCAAAGGCCCTAAATATGTTTGTGGTAAATATATGTGCTTTGTTTTTCTCGACGTTAAAACAGGTTTCCATTTGAAGTAAGGGTTTAAAAATAAAATAACTCAGAAAAAAACAACAACATAATGAAATCACGGCCACCGCTCAAAAAAAAAGTGTTTTCTTCTATTTGTGTCAATTGTAAAAACATCAAGCAACCATAAACGAAACACATAAGTATTGTACAAGTTGTTTAAAACTTTTATTCGTAATGTTTTGTTATAGTTAAATATAGTCTAGAATAGTTGATCAACCGTAACAAAATGTAGCTGGAACATGCCAGAAACTGTAACAGTAGAAAGTAGTGTTTCTTTTATGTTTATTACATTCCATAAACCATAGCAAAACTATTTTGTATAAAGCAACGCACTAAGATTATTTTACCGATATCTGTGAAATTTTACCGAAATCTCAACAGCTGAACGTTCGTTTAACAGTTCGGTGATTTTTCACAGATTTTCTGTGATTTTTCACAGATATTCGTTGAAAAATTACAGGAAAACAGTGAAAAATCACCGAACTGTTTACCGAAAGTTCAGCTGTTGAGATTTTGGTAAAATAATTTTAGTGTGTAGTAAGGTATCAGTGAAGTTTGAACTATTCTAGAAATGTTTTGTTCTCTGCTTGAGTTCATTTCAGTAATGCATATAGTAGCGCTATTTCAATTCAATTTTTCTAAAATAATAAAGCTTGATCTAATAAATTCATAATTCTAGCTTATGCGTGTTCATGAACAATAAATCAAACAAGCCGAATACCTAATTAACGCCATAGGATTGTTTAATCGATTATTACGTTAACGATTAGTATACCGACCCACAAACAAATTCTGACCCAGGAATAGTGCGCTTTCACCAGAGACGTAAATATATATAGCTGATGCAAAAATTCCGGTCTGCAAATCAAAAATGCAACACTGCATACTACTCACCCATATGTGACGTATCTAACTGTATCGGGTCATGTTCCCGTCGAATCTGTACCGTCTGGGGTGGCAGAACTCCATTCAGGCAGTTCTTCAGGCAGCAAAACATGGTTTTCATCAGTTGCCGGTAGTTTTTATTATTTTAATTACAAGTTTATCAATTAAATCAAGATATGAAAATTCATACTGTTAAGATGTAAATCTTCACTGCATTTAATATTCTTCTGTGATACGACTGGTCTGTTTACTGGATGTATATGTCAGTTTATGACATGGCCTGTCAGAAAACGGTCAGTAACGGTACTTGCTTCGTTTATAACGGCCAGTAACGCATTCTGCAGTGACATCTTGTATGCAATAGAATAGTTATTTATGCAACAAGTTGCATAAAGAAGATTGTTTCAGTACGAGTCGTGCATTTATGCAACGAGTTATGCAGAGTTGGATAATTGGCAAATCAAAGTTGGCACTCGTGGAGAATAGAAGAACTATGAAAGTGATGATGGTTTCAAAATTTTACACGGTGAGGTATACGAGTACAATCTTAAAATGCTTCTATTTTGCAAATGGAGCATTTTATTTAAATCTGGTTAATGCTACGTTAGTAGAAAACATAAGGACTACTCAATAAACATATAATATAGAAAAAATAATTTCTTTCCTGATTTTTAAATGTATACATAGATTTCAGCTTTTCTACCACTATAGCAGAAACCAGATTTAAATAAAATGCTCCATTTGAAAAATAAAAGCATTTTAAGATTTCATTCGTATACCTTCCCGTGGAAAATTTTGAAACCATCATCACTTTCATAGTTCTTCTATTCTCCACGAGTGTCAACTTTGATTTGCCAATTACGACGAGTACTTAATAAATAGAATTTTCTTGACACTCAGCACAGAAAAGTGCTACATTTCGACACTCTTTTGCATAACATAAGGGCCTACTTTTCCAAGTTAAAATATACTGTCGAGAAGTGCTACTTTTCAGCACCCAGCGCCAATGCTCAATGTTGTATGCAAGCGAAATTTGGCTCGTTGGGTAAACTACGATTCGTGATGATTAATCTTCATTTTGTGTTGCAATAGCTATTTTGGCACTCAGTCCTGAAATGTCCTACTCTTCGACACTCTTTTAAATAACATACAGCATACTTTCCCTGATTAAAAAATCAGTGCCGTAAAGGTCTACTTTTCGACACTCTTTTGAGTGCAAATATAGTGAGTTGGATGAATGTACCACTCATGTTGAAAAAATATTATTTTTTCTACTTGTTGCACAAATAACTATTGACGGTTTGAATGAGTCATTTGACCCTCGCCTTGAAGTATTTTTGATATTATTCCCTTGCTGGTATTTTTAGTACATCTGGCAAAACGCACCTAAATGGGCTGGAAAAATAAGCTAATCGAAAAACCGTATCACATTTAGTTGCAGCATAACTGGCAACACAATAGTTGGAAAATGTTTGGGAAAATCCCACCCAAATTCTCCCGTCTGATGGCTCGTGGTTTTTATTCTTAATACCAGATAATTATATAATATGAGAGGAATAATTTTCCGACTTTTCCGGCAGCGTTTTTCCATTTTCATTTCAAGCATTACATTTTTCTGCTGTAAGAACAAAGCAAGGGAGAAAAAAAGGTGTACTAAACACGAATAAGCGCGATGTGCTTTCGACTAGCATGATTTCTGACTGAAGGATGAGAATAGTGATGTCGAATGTTTAGCCAAAAATAATTTCAAGCTGTTGATAATGAAAAATACCTATCAGCAAGAATCAAAATGCGTTTCCCTACATCCTCCATTTCGCTAACTCCCTGAATGTCAATGGGTCCAAGTATGCACTAGAATACAAAGTGTCCTCTGAATGTCGATAAAATTAGCTAGGTTTCTTGTGTTTTCTTTGTTTGGTGTAAACATAAAAATATTGTTTGGGAACCAATAAAAGCAATATCTAAAATATCCTCCCACTTTGATATTGACTACATCATCCAAACAGCTGGTATAACTGATTCCCTCATCTAAGAATCAAATTCAAACTTTAAAATAACATATTTTCCGATATCTCAAAATGCTCCGTAATGCTTCTAGAGTATTTTTTTTTATATCTTTATTAAGGAGCCGTTGGCTGGCTCGTCTCCGACCTCTTCTAGAGTACCCAATGATGGTATGATATGTTGTTAGTTGTAGATTTCACTGAGTTGATTCAATAATCAAAACAACAAAACTTAGGGGACTTGCAATAATTACATAAGTGCTTTTTTGTAAGCACTTCAACCATCTACTTAGAGATCGCAAATCTTCATTCAAGTATGAGACGGCAACTTCTAAATCCTTAGCTGCAATGAATAACACAGTATCATCTGCAAAATGTCGCAGAATCATAAAACACGTCGCAAGTCGTTAATATACATAATAAATAAAAAGGGCCCTAATACACTTCCATGTGGCACTCCAAGGTTATTCCCCACGAGACTGGAAACAGAAGCATTAAAAAAAGTCCGTTGAGTCCTGTCACACAAATTCCTTTCAAACAATTTATATGCAGTAATTGTAATTCCAAAAGAAAAATCTAATAATAAGGGCCTTAAAATTGTTTCAAAAGCGCGTTTCAGATAAAAAACGGCAATAGTCGTATTTTTATGCTCCAAGTTGTTTTCCCATTTTTGCAAAGAATTCCCAAGTAACAAAACTAGAGCTGCTTGGCTATATTCAATATTTATAAAGGTTTTATTGCAGCTGCAACCATTACCTACAGCTTTATGAAGGTCATATACAATGCAAGTCATGGAGCATTCTTATAGCTATCTACAAAACCCATATAAAGCTTATAAAAAACCAACTTATGCTTATGCTATTTTCACTTATGAAAGGTTTTATGATTGCCTTAAAGTATAAAAAAAAAACAATATCAATTGCCCTTATAAACCCAAAAATAAATCCTTATATTACTTTATAAGTAAGCGCAATAAAGCTAGTTGGCCATGAAACAGTTATTTAAAAAAAAATATAAGCATTCAGTTGCAACTTGTCAGAAGTGTAGATGAGCGGTTTATTTTTACAACATAGAACAGAATCAAAACTTTCCGGGAAATCAACAAAATTGTTAGCATGAGCCCGTTTATTTGCTACAGTCAGCCGCAAACCTTCGTGACTAACTCCAACACCGTAACGTGGGTAGATCACCTTTTCGTGGTACGTTACGGGATGTACGATCTACCACCGATTCCTAGTCTTGACTACTTCAAACTAGGGGAACAGGATTTTTCAGTAATCAAAGGAACACATCTTAGTCCTTGTTACTTTTTATGCCTTGTTGATAGTGATAAGTCCTCGGGTTGCCTGGACCGAGGATGATCTTGAAACAAGGAAAAAATGTGTTAGTTAGTCTTCATCTATGTGATTCCTAATCTTCTATTCGTTGTTCCCTAGTTTGAAGTGGTTAAGGGTTCTGATGCATGGTCACTATCGGTGTCATTCTTTAATTTTGTTGCTAAGGAATCCAATTTTGACTGACAAAGGGGCGCGCCTTTGGAGGGTGTTCTAACACTCCGAAGGGTATAAATAGCGGGATCTTTCAATTAGAATCGATTCCTTGCGATGAAGGCAAGAATGACAACTGTATCAAAACCGAATATTTCATCATTTCTCAATAGTGATGAAGTAATACGACATGCATTAAACTAAGGACACGGGATATACTACAATAGATCAAATTACTGGTCGCAGTAGTTTTATGTCCCGAACAGAGGAAACAAAAAAACTCCAACCAAGAAAAAATGCCGCTGCATTTTCTGTGGATGTCACAAAGGAAGCTGTAAAGAGTGTACCTCCTCACAATTCTGAACCATCTTAACTTCGAATGGACACATTGCTACACCAAAAATGACTCATGAAGAGGAAATATATAATTATCTGGAGTCGGAGGATGATACCTACGCCAACTTGCGTCTCTTATCTGATTTACAGTCGTGGATGGTCACAACAATTCAACAATCAGCATTGAAGACTTTACAACGACTGCAGAAAACTAGGGAGGCCGCTCGCCAATTTTACAGTCCTCCAAATTTTCAACGGCACTGACGCACTCTACTAAAGGAAGTAACGACGACTATTCCCATGCAAGGGAATTATTATTATTGAATGACGACACTCTACATGAGGTAGACCCTACTAATGTAAGTAATACTGACCCTCCAAAAATCTCTTCACTTCCTCAACAGAATGCGACTGAAATTTTGGTGTATTACCAAAATTTCAATCGCATGAAAAGCCCAGCTAAAATGAAAGAAATCCACCAGAACATTCTATCTTCTTCTTTTCAAATAATTCTTGGAACTGAAACAAGCTGGGACGAAAGCGTCAGAAGCGAAGAAATTTTTGAAAACAATTTTAATGTATTCCGGCACGACAGGAATTTTCAACTCTGTAATAAAAAGTCTGGTGGTGGAGTGCTCATTGCCATCAATGCTGACTTTACTTCTGAAGAAATCATAACAAATAAGCACAAGGAATTTGAAAATGTCTGGGTCAAAGCACTTATTGCCGGTGAAATACACATTTTTTCTTCTGTGTATTTTCCACCTAAACATGCCCACAAGCAGTCTTTTGAACTATTTTTTTCAAATTGTTGAAACTATAATGTCAAATATGGAACCAGAAGTAAAACTGCATATTTATGGCGACTTCAATCAACGAAACGCAGACTTTATTACAGACATTGAAAATGAATCATTTTTACTCCCGGTCGTAGGTGAAGACGAAACATTACAATTATTATTCGACAAAATATCTTATTTTGGTCTTAATCAAATAAACCATGTAAAAAATCAACAAAACTCATATTTAGACCTTTTATTTACAAATTGTACTGAAGACTTCTGTGTGGATACATCATTAGCACCTTTATGGAAAAATGAAGTGTTTCACACAGCAATTGAATACTCAATCTTCGTACAAAATTCTACAGCCATCAACTCTGCATATGAGGACTATAACCAACAATCAATACGAAACTAACGATTTTAAATTGGCTCACCACTTTAGTAGCCTATTGGTCCCAAGCAAACGATTAACGTACCCTATTCTAGTTGAAATTCTATTACTACACTATGTTTGTTTTGATTCGCTATGAAAGTTTGACAGATAACATCAGGGGTGTGTGGATTCATGCAGAACATGCAGGGGTGAGTGAAATAGCTTGGGACTGCTTGGGACCGTTGTTCTGGTACTGAGTGAGCCAAA